CAGCTCCCCCGACAACAATGTCCAGCAAAACATCCGAATAGTCGAAAACCGGTGAAATATCGGGTGGTGTGTACTTCCGAATGTCCAGCAATTCGTCTCTGGTGAAACTGATTGCAGGGATATAACTAAAGACAGGACAAACTAACAAAAACATAAAAACAACTGCAGAGCACACCACGGAGGCAGCCATCAGCGTCGGCGCCATTGTGCATTATGTGCATTATGTAGATCATGCTGTCTAATCAGCATCTTGATATGCCACACCTGTGAGGTGGATGGATTATCTCTGCAAAGGAGAAGTGCTCACTAACACCGATTTAGACAGATTTGTGAACAATATTTGAGAGAAATAGGCCTTTTGTGTACATAGAAAAAGTCTTAGATCTTTGAGTTCAGCTCATGACAAATGGGGGCAAAAACAAAAGTGTTGCATTTATAATTTTGTTCAGTGTATTTAAAGTAATAGTTATTATACTCCAGTCTTTGATTGACTTCTCCAGATGTTAACTGATGGACTGGAGTGCTGTGGATTACTTGTGGATTATTGTGATGTTTTTATCAGCTGTTTGGACTCTCATTCTGACGGTACCCATTCACTGCAGAGCAAGTGATGCAATGCTACATTTCTCCAAATCTGATGAAGAAACAAACTCATCCCAATCTTGGATGGTGAGTGCATTTTCATTTGTGGGTGAACTAAATTCATACAAACTCTCTCACCTTGAAATTGCTCGCATTGACCCATGAGGTTGCCAGACTGTCCACCATCCTGTCCAGCATGCTCTGATCGTGCTCCAGGTCATGTGACTTCTGTCTGTCCAGGATGTAGTCTATGATTTCCGGCCCCACTTGGAAGCGACGTCCAACCTCCTTCTGCGTGACCTGTGCCACTATGTACTCCATGTTTGGCTCCATCACTTTGCCGAGATGGACCACGGCTCATAAACACACAAATACTGGCCAGAAAACAGAGTTTTAGATCTTGTTAATTTAAAGACAGGATCCTGAAGGGATGTGGGATGCAAAAGGCCGCTGGAAGAATGAATGCGGGACGGTGCAACATGTGTCGACTGAACAATATTATAATCGACAGATCAAACACTGGTAGAGTAAATCCTTCTGCAGGGAAATCCTGTCAAACGGCCAATACATCACTTTATGTCCTGCAATGCAAATTAAAATATTACAGATCAGGTATTATAAAAAAAACGCTTCCAAAAACTGAATGATCAATTCAACCCAAATTTCTAAGGCGTCTAAACGATCAACATTTTCAAAACTGCAGTCACACTCAATCTCCTCATGTCTTCTGTCTCTGATTGATAGTTTAGCGTGTTTTATCCAGTAAAAGCTCTTTTAGTGTACTTGTACAAGCGTTCAGCTTCAGCTGGAGCTTCTCGTGTCAAATCTTGACTGATTTTGATCAAGTAAGCGTCAGAATAACGTCAGTAATATCTCCAGATGAACTCTTACTGGACTGAAGCAGCTCAGCTTTACTTGATTCTCCATCAATCATGTTTTAGAGTCTCAAATCTGATCCTCAGGATCTTTTGAGGAGCGTTTGTTTCCAGAAGCTTTACTTTCACTGTTCCTCAGCGGAGGAATGATCTTCACAAGCCTCCAGAACATCTCACATCTTCTGAGGAGCCTTTATTTCTTCAGCTCTCAATCACTGCATTATATGTTTGGAGCATTTCAGTCTCATCTCACTGAGACACATTACTGCAGATATAGAGACGACTGATATTTAGAGCATTTTATGTCAGTATCTGCTCTACTGTTAGAAAGATCTCATTTATTTACATCACAAGCATCTGAATTTCATTATAGAAATATCAGCATCTGCAGCAAATTCATATTTTTGCTCAGTTGAAGCTATAAATTTGAGTAATTTCCCTTCATGTTATCACTATATTAGACTATAAGAGCCATAAACACCTGATGAATCAAATATGATACTCAACAAAAAATAAATAAAACACATATGCAAACTTGTTTTTTTTTAGAGGTTACATTATTCTCTATCTAAAGGCTCAATAAACTATAACATTTTGAATATATATTGCAAGGTTGCTAGAACAACCTAAAGTTTGGTTATCATCTCTATAATGGTCTCAATATTTCATATACAATATTACTTTGAATTTCAAATGACAAAAAGTATTGTGGCAGTATCATGGTTCAGATAGTAATAACATGATAACGTTACTCAAATATGTACTATGGCACTTTCTGAATACCATATTCAAATACCACAGTATTTAAGGTCCTTCAAAGCATACCATAATAAACAAGGTATTACCAAAGTACTTCATTGTAACACAAGCAATAGATGATGTAATCATCATGTGTCACGTGAGAACGTTCATGTAGCCTAGTTTTGAGGACATTAGCAGTCACGGTTTACTCATTAAACGTTACCGAAGCAGCTGTAGTGATTGCTAATCTAACTTTAGCCGTGTTTAATGTCTGAGCAGTTGTTTAGCAGCTGTCTGGCTAACAGATCTCACTGTAAACAGGGCAGGCTGCTTGACACTTACATGCTAAACAAACCCAGGGCCTTTCAGGGGAAACCCGACTAATATATCGCGATAAAAAACCGTAGCGTCGCGATATCGTTACTTGGTTTTAAAATATAAAAGCTTCATATGCATTTATTTAGCTACACCCAAAATATTCATAACTGCTATATATTTACCCTGCGTTTCAATATTTAAACATCGTTAAAGCGATATAAAATTTACCTGCGACGCAAAACCGCTAAATATTATAATTTGTTTCAGAGAATAAGTAAAAGAAAATAAGAAAAAGAAACAAGAAAATAAGAAAAGTACACAGAATACACCTTTATTTTGTCTTATTGATATTTTTTACTTGTTTGTGTTTTTAAAAATGCTGAAAATATGCCAGTAAAACGCAAAAGTTTTGTTTTAATAAAGTTTGGCTATTTTTTACTATTTAAAAATTATATTTTGCATATCTCTTCATCATTTAAAAAAAAGTATCTGGGTTTGCAACGCATGCATGTAAATACCATGTCATATAATTGTAGCAATTCAGTACCATGGTATAAGCATCACTATACTTTTGTATTTTAAACAGTATAGCATTTAACTCTTTTCAATAATATTTTCTCATCTAGTCGCATGTGCATTATTGCACTGTTGTATCAACTACTCCTGTAAACTACAATCTAAAATCTCAATCTAGACTGACTGCATCAAACTTTCGTTTCACATCGGTTTGCAAAAAAATTAAGACATTACAATCCATGCAACTGAACAAATAATGATCGACATGGACACTGTAAACACTGTAGATGATGCAGCTACTCTCACAGTGTAATGTTTGCTTTGCATGCATGACTGTAACAATGTATCCCGTTATGCACAAACTATTTTCATTGACAGTGCATGCAAAGCCCAGCCACAGCAAGCTGAGGCAGAACGCAACCAGTGATAAGCTCGTTTGATAACGGACGTACCTGGCATGCCGCTACTTGGGAACCGTTTCCAGTGGGTAGATCCTCAGTTGATATTTTGGAAGGAAACAGCAGAGATCTCCGCCCATTGTGCGGTTTCAACCATGAAGATGGCACTGCGCATGCGCCAGATGAGGCGTGATAGCGCGACATCTGCTGTCTGTTCAACTCAGTTTGCAATGCATAATAGACACATCCTGCTCTTTTAGTAGTAGTTTTATAAAGTGTGAAAATGTCATTTAAAACAAAAAAAAAACGTAAAAAAATAAAACCGCTAATGTGGCTAACATTGTGGCAAGGTTCTATCAAAGTAACGAATAAACATTCTTCCAGTAGCGTAACAATAATGTTTGTTACAAGTTATCTTATTCTCAAAACGTTAGTACAAAAACGTTCTTTATGCATTGTCTATGTAACTTTTTTTCGGAAACCTTTTAGCTGGACATTTGTCTAAGGTTTCTAAAATGTTACAAAGTCCCTTCTTTCAGAACGTTTCAAAAGTAACGTTCCCATAATATTTGCGAAGTGATGCAAGGGAATATTCCATTTAAAACTGGACGTTTAGAATGTTCAGAGAACATTCAAACAGTTTTCATCACTTAATGGGTATGTATATGGAAGGCCAAATGACTCAAAATTAAATCATTAAATAAATGTTGAAATATACAAATAGGCCTACATCGTTAAATGCATAAATACATATTTATTTATTCGTTTATATTCATTCGTTCATTTATATATTTATTTATTCATTCATTATATTTATAAATGTATTCATTCATGCATTTATTTAAATAAATAAATATTTGTATTTGTTTGAAATATTTATTTATGCATTCAAATATTTAATTATGTATTTAACGATTTATTTATATATTTCAACATTTATTTAATGATTTAATTTTGAGTCATTTGGCCTTCCATAAATGGGAAAGTCAGCACAAAAATGGTGTTACCTGTCATGTTATGTTATTTAATTAAAGGGGTCATATGATGCGATTTCAATTGTTTCTTTCTCTTTGGAGTGTTACAAGCTCTTGGTGCATAAAGAAGATCTGTAAAGTTGCAAAAACTAAAGTCTCAAATCCAAAGAGGCATTCTTTATAAAAGTTCAGAGTCAGCCACGCCTACCTAAAACGGCTCGTTCTAACACGCCCCCACATGTCTACATCACTATGTGGGAAGATTTGCATAACGCCGCCCAAA